CCAGGTGTTAGAACAGCTTTACCATTTTTTTCTTTGTTCTCTTACACTTCTCATTATATTGGTTTATTTATTTATTGAAAAGTTGATGTTGGAACTTTGATAGCTGCAATGCCACACTTTGTGTGAAACAAATAAAACTAGGGATGCACGATATTGGATTTTTGACCGATATCTGATATACCGATATGTTAAAACTTATTTGGCCTATAACCGATACCCATATTTTCTATACTTTCCTTTGTCAGAACATAGTCCTCTTATTTAGGCTTATTTGCTACAAAAATTGTGTCACTGCTGTAAGAGCTGGTGACATATATTCAGTAACAGCTATATGATATGCACAGCACTTTAACTTATATTAAATGAAGTGTTAAATATTATTTATTGGCATTAGTCACCTGCGATGCCATCTAACTTATCAGAATCAGAATAAACTTTATTGGAATTGCACCGAGGTACAACGCAAATATGTACGTACAGTCGTCCGAAAGATGGGCGGAGTGCACGAAGCTGCAACTACAGGAGAGCGCGGCCATTTTATCCTTATCAGATAAAAATCTTAGATAGGAAAAGGGGGAGAAACATGAGGGTAGATAGTGGTATTACAAAAAAAAGATAAAAAGATATTTCACATCTTGTCTATCAGGATAGATAAAGCTTTTTGTCCTTGGGTACTCATGTCCCAGGAGAAATTTGATAGTCAGCCCGTCTCCGAGGCCATTGGGAGTCAGATTAGATAAGCTTAATATTTGTTTTTCTTCAGGCAGACAGATTTTTTCTTCAGCCTTGAGTCCATCTTGGCATTCTGGTTCCGAAAAAGCCTAATTGTGGAATTTAGTTTCACTGATCCATGCTATGAGTCTCCTTCAAGGTCGAACCCACCACGCTGACGAGTCCCAGAAGCCGCAGGTGGTCTGCGATTCTCAATCGCCTCCACCTTACGGTTAAGCCCGTAGACCAGACGATTTAAAGTTCCCACAGCGAGGACCAGACCTTCACACTGACTCGGAAGCTTTTCCATGGCCAAAACTGCTCCCGATGTCTTCTTCAAAAGTCGATAAAACAGAGCCCCGCCGATGACAAAAAGCAGAGTCCCTGCTATCATAAGTCCAAATATGTAAACGTCTTCAACATCTTCTTTAGACAGAACAGAGAGGCACATCATCTGCCACACTCCCCACAAATCCATGACGTACCCCACAGCGTGAGTCTCAGCTGGACATGCCGGTTCCCCAGGACCTTGTCGCTTTGATGAAAAAATCTTATCAATAGAGTTGAACGCCCACGATACCAAATCCATAATCTTCTTAATTTATGTTCGGGAGATGAGACCCAGGCGCTTCAGACAGACAGAGAGCAGAGCAGGAAGAAGGAAAAAAATGGGGGAGGAGAAAATGAAGCTGCCACCTCGATCAAAGCCTGGGAGGAAAGGATGGAGGAAAGGTTATGGAGGTTTGTTCCAGGTTCCTAGCTGCAGTGTGGGATCGTCTGTACTCTTGTGCATGAAGGACAGCCTTTTTAAGTTCAAAGTTTTTGTCTATCCATTGTGCCGTAAGACTTAATCATGCTAACGGGGCTAACACTTGACGTCCAAATGTCTGTGGTAAAACTCACCCAAGTGCTATCGGCTATTAGCTTCTCAACGATGTCGGAACTGACGGCTTGTAACTCGGGTAAGGTTACGTCAGAAAAATATCTCCGACTGGGGATGATGTAGCGAAGTTCAACATAGTCCAAATATCTTCGGAATCCGACATCCTCAATGAAAAAAAAAAAAACTTCCACACCGCTGACATTTTGAATTTTCCTCTCCGTCGTGAGATCAGGTAGATGCACGTGACATTATCAGATTGTGCTGCCGCTGCAGGCATCCTTTTCACTGGGTTGTCTTACAAAAACAGCGCCTTTTCTATCAGTGAGTTATTTTGATGGAATGGACAATGTCCAATATTAAACTTTAACGCCAATATCAGCCGATACAGATACCATGCCGATAATATCATGCATCCCTAAATAAAACAATAAATTCAAACTTTCATTGGGATAATGATAGTTCCACTACATGTTCCATGTAAAAAAAAATACTTTGAGTAATCAGATATTTTGGAAAACTAGACGTCTGAATGTAGAATAGTTAAAGGGCATCAATTCTAGGCCTGTCACGATAACAAATTTTGTTGGGCGATTGTCTCAGAAATTATTGCGATAAACGATAATATTGTTTGAAATTTGATAATAATTAGTAATTATTGTCAAATTTAAGAAGAAACGTTGGTTAATTTATTTTGAGTGTAGTACCTTTTTTGACCACCAGATGGCAGTATAAGACGGTTTGAACTGAAGGATGGATAGTGAGGGAGCGAGCAGCATGTCTCTAAGAAAAATGGGAGGGAGGCCCCTTGACATGACATGGGCTGTCTCTTTCCCGTTTTTCAGTTCTCAAAATGGTGGACGCTTGGTTTAGTTTGAGCTCTTTAGCATAGCATGTTTCACACAAAGCTTTTAATAAAAAAATCTGTAAACAAGTTCTCCGCTTCTTTTTGCAGAGAAAAACAACTTTTTACATGAAGGCACGGGTTTCAACCGTGAATTTTGGAGCTTCGAGAAGACGGAGGTTTTTCCCTGAGATTGGCTTGTTAGCTTAGCTCGTAGCTTAGCTCCTCAGCTTAGCTGCTTTTAATGATCCAAAAACGCAATTTTGGACGGTTAAAACGGATTTTAAAGAGAAACGAGAAAGGGAGGGGTCAGTGAAGAGCACCAGAGTTGAGCTTTTTGTCATCCAGTGTCTTCAGTAGAAAGAGAGAGACACAAAGAAACAATAAAGCCGATAAATGAAAATGAGGTCGATAATTTTCATTTATCATGCCATTAATTGATTTATTGTTTATCGAGACAGGCCTACTCAATCCTTTGCTACAAAAGGAACAAAACAAGAGGTTACTAGGTATAAAACTTGAAAAACTAAAAACTAAGTCAGGTAAAAAGACTCAAACAGCAGCAAACAGAAAAATTAAAGACAGTGGCATTTAATGGGATCCTTTTCTGTGGAGACTGGATTTTCTGATGACACATTTAACAGAGTTTGTTTCTGGCTGTGTTGCAGTGAAAATGAAGCTTGGGAGAGCAGTTGCTTGGCGGAGGTTGCTGTGTGTTCAACTAACGATTCAGTAGCATCCTGTTGGCTCAGCTGGCTGGGGTTTGAATCCTCAAAGTCATCTTTAAAAATATGCTGAACCCAAAAGCTGCAACAGCCTGAGGGCATTTTCACTGATGGGTTTCCATTATGATTTATGGATGAGAGGAAATGGAATGTTTAATTACAAAAAATTACTAAATCTGAGGGGATTGCTGACCTCGATAACAAAAACACCTTTCTCCAAAACACAAAAAACAGACAAAATGTAGAATCAGGTTTTATTTAATGTAATAAAACAATTTAAAGCATCACTAAGTTTTAAAACTAGATTAATAATTTATGTTTATATTCAAACTGAATATAATAAAATAGCACATATTGATATATACTGTGGCCAAAATGTTTGTCTTTATACAACACTGCCACCTGGTGGTAGGAGATTAAGTTGAGACATTTTGGTCTAAAATCTTGTAAACACTGGTGTGACAGCTTTTATTTCCAAGCATTCATTGTGATATGAAATCAACAAAATAAACTGTAATTTTTAAAAGAGACAAACATTAAAAAATTGCACCTGATTGTTGCGCTCAATCTTGTACTGATCAACTTATTTCTCTCTCAGAGGAATAACATATTTATTACTCAAACGCTCATATTTACCACCTAATGCTGAAGGGACAATAATTGTGTTTTTGCCCATGTGCATTTGAATTTGTCTGCACTGTTGGCAAAATATTTCATGAAGCACTGGACAGATTTCATTGAAACATTCAGAAAGTCAGTCTCCCCACCATCACAGACATCTATACCTCTAGATGCAGGAAGAGGGCCAATTGCATCATGAAGGACCCCACTCACCCAGCATACACACTTTTAGCCCCGCTCCCCTCAGGAAGGAGGTTAAGGTGCATTAAGTCTAGAATCACTAGACTGAGGAACAGTTTCTACCCTGAAGCTGTTAAGACTCATGAATCTCTAACCAGGATAATCACTGTAAAAAAATCACACCATGTTGCTGTGTTCACGCATGCTCATCTGCTCACTCAGACTTATGTTTGTGCTGTTGTGTGACATATTTTTTCATGCTATTAGTGCTTAGTGTATATTTAGTTGTTTTTCTTGGTTCATATCTTTAAACTGTTTTTCTTTTACATTTTATTGTTGGATGTAACTGGGACCCTGTGTACATAATTTTGTTCCACCACATGTACCACATGGGGTGCGAATGACAAATAAAGAACCTTGAATCCTTGAAAGTTATCACTTAATGATCTACAATTGAACTTTTAGAGTAAACCCAATTCAAGATGGCTACCACAGCAAAGAGACTTTAGCCAACACAAAAAATGGCTAAAACTTAGCTAATTTTACAGATATTGGGCTAAAATTTGGTGTGGTAGTAGCTGACAGTCATTCACAACACATAGTCCAAGTGCAAACAGATCATGCACGTTATTGCAATATTGCACAAGATTGTGTATAACCGTTACTTTCCAGGCTTGACCATAATAAATATATCTCTGTAAAATTACGTTAAAACACAGCATGAAAGGTGTTCGGCAACATGCATCCCTTCAAGGACTGCTACGCCTTAAATTAAAATCCGTAATGAGTTTTTTTTTATATTAATATTAGCTCCCCAGAGATTACTTCCTGGAGAGCATATTAAATAACAGTTAAATGTTATAGTTGTGTATGGGTTGTTTACAGCTAACATACTTGTGCTTTTTAAAAACATTTTATTGCATGAAACAAGTGATTTTCTACACAAAGACGGTTTCTGTCTACCTTTTGTAACCTTTGTGATTCAAACATTTAGCAGGTTCAGTCAAACAGGATGCTGCGATGTGTTTTATCCTCTTACCCAGATCCAGTCTCTGACACAGGGAGCCCAGGCCCTGCAGAACAGCCAGCTGTAGTTTGTAGGCCTGGGTGTGCGAGTAGACCGGCCCGGCCTTGACGCTGATCGGAGCCTGCCGGGCCAGAGAGGAGCTCAGCTTGGGAAGGACATCCTTAGAAACCCTGGCCCTCAGAAAGTCACCACACGTTTCACCCAGAGTACACAGCACCTGATGTGTGAAGTTTATATGTAAAATATGACACGATGAAGCAAACAGTCATTTGTTTCTGTAAAAATATTAATAAAATGCATACTAGCAGTCCAGGTGAAGACATAATTTGACAGTAAACTAACTGATTTCTTGCTCTAAAAATGATCATACACTTGTAATTTTAATATTAGCAGGTCATTTTCAGCTATCTGTTCTGTCATATGTTTAAAAAGTCAACGTTGGAAAAATGATCTCTCTAAAGATTTACAAACTGCAATTTTAACAAGATTTATTTTGGTCATCTCGAGATTTTAACAATTATTTTTCTTCTATAATGCTGGACTTTAAGATCTGATCCGGTTAGAATTCAAAATCTTCTTTTACAGTATCAAATCTAATATTAGATGTTCACAAAATTCCAGCAACACGTTCGACAAATTTCTTTTCAAGGATTTTTAAGGAACTGTTTAGAGGGGAGACAGAAATGTTGACCCACCCTGAAGGCTCGGAGGACCGCTAACGGGTCATCGGCTGTGAGTCTCTGCAGAAGGGCCGGCCAGGAGCGATGAGCCATAGGCAGGAGTTCATTCTCCCTCTCGCTCAACACATAAACACACACCTCCAGCACGTCCAGCACCTACAGACAAAAACATACAGAGCTCTTCTCAACTCTGGTGTGCACATGTCTGTTCTACATGATGGAAAATAAACTGTGGTGGTCTTATAGTAAGTTTAAAAAAAAACCTCTGCTTCTTTTCAAAATGAAAAGTTACTTGACTTTCTCTGTTGTCTCAGTTGCGTATGATGAATCCATCACACTCAACTGACGTTACTATGATGAATGAATAACTTGAAATTTATTAAATATGGTGGATGCAATTCTGTTTTCTTAACCGAGTACCGTACTTGAGAGCGTACACGTCGCATCGGTCCAAAAATGTCTAATAAAGTGGGAAATAAAAAATATAAATAAATCGCTTCGCTGTATAAGTGGCATCTATTATGTGTCAACGCTGACCACTTGGAAATGTGGGTGGGTGTTGTGTCAAAATGTTTTGTTTTTAACTTAGCTAGATTGTTATTATATTTTAATTAAAATTTTGTAAAAATATTTTGATTTACATTAGAATTAAGAAAAAAGGGGCAGTTTTCATAAGACTAGTTCTTCTGCCACCTTTCATTTTATTTTATTTACATTTTTTGATTGTATTGTGTGTGTGTGTGTATATATATATATATATATATATATATATATATATATATATACAGGGTATATGCAGGAATAATGAAGTTAATTTCAATACCTTTTCAAGACTTTTTCAAGACCTTCCAAAATAAATTCAAGACCTTATCGTCACTTTGTTTTATTAAGCAACAAATCTTTGATTTACAAAACTGCTGTTGTTTTCAATTAAATCCGTGAATCTCAAACCTACAACAGAACTGAGATACAGTGGATAGAAAAAAATTCAAAAGAAGAAACTGAACCACGACTAGGTTTAAGAAAATATAGCTTAGGTTACAACAAGACTCGTAGTTATTTTAAAGTAACTTGGTTGAACAATGGCGAATAAGAAATAAACACAGAAATCATTACATGTGCCTCAGTGCAGTTGCTTTGCATTCCAGCAACTCTTCAGTTTGCACCAGCTCACTGAGTTTTTCTTTACGTCTCCTTCTCAAGACATTGGACTTGGTGATCAGTTGGGCCATTAAAGAACCTGACTTTCCCTCTGCCTGCTCTGCCAACTGATCTGCATCTTTTTGCAGAGAATCGCACACCTCTTGTAGAAGTTTTCTCTTTTTTTTCAGCTCTTCTAACTCAGCTCCAGCTGCTTTCCTCTTAAGGCTCTGTGTGGAAGTTTCTTTCTTCTTTCGTTGCTGTTCCAGGTAAATCCTGTACTTTGACCTTGCAGAGGCAACAGAAGCCAGCAGCTCCATGGTCAGAGGTACCTGCAGAACACCCCCACAGACACTGACCTTGTCGCAGATCAACCTCAACCTTGGTTGGTTCAGGCACACGGTTAGCTGGAAGCGCTGTCGCTGGTGGAGCACAGAAACTGCTGATAGATATCTGCGTTTTGCGGCTAGCTGCACTTTTGTGGCTAGCTCCAGTCATATGGGACTTCAAGGCGTTTATGCCCATCGAGGCTACGCTCATCTTTTTTTTACAAAATGTACAATAAGCCTCGCGGTTATTCTCGGCGACAGGCCTCAGCCATTCTTGAAATCAGGCATCTCCAACCAGGAGTCCGAAAACTTGCATTTACCCATTATTCTCACGGTCTCGCGGCAACTTACTCGAACACACAGACTCAAAGCAGCTGCGCATGCGCACAAGATAGGCCTAGCCGTTAAGGCTGTTGTAACCTGACACTCTAAATTTGTGCGAAGCAGTTTCCGAATCCTCCGCGGTGAGGAAAACAAATATCAGTCATACATACTTTTTGCTGTCAAATTATTTAAAGCTAGAATAACAGCAAAAAAAAATAATACCTCAGCAAATCGCTTTCAAGACTTTTTAATACTTTTCAAGACCCTTAATTTTCCCAAATTTGATTTATCAACTTTTAATAACTTTCAAGACCCCGCGGACACTCTGAT